CTTAAGAGTCATTTTCCTTAGCTGCGTTCTGGAGGAACAGTGGTAGAAGGTGACATTAACGATGAATCCTTCTTCTGTTACCCAGAATGGAGAAGATTGCAGCTGCTTGTTTTCAAGCTCAGGGTTGTCTGAAGACAATCAGCAAGAAATCAAGTAAGACTTCCTAATATCTGATGAGTCTCTCCAACCCATGCTGTATGTCATGGGATTAAAATGTGATTCCACCTTCCATGTCTCTTCACATAAGTTTCCTTCCTTCACTGGAGTCTTTTCTAGGACTTCAAAGAACCACAATTGATTTTTCTCAGAAACCACAATTTACATAGCTTTGGTTTGAAGGAAACTTGTGAACACAAAGGCAATTCTATGCTTACCTTCATTCCTCCATAAAGCTTTCACTGTTACTGGACCTCTAAAACCTGCCCTTCTCACTGTGTGGAAGAGTCCAAGTTTCTGCAAGAGGTACACTGGGGAATATGCCATGATTTCTATTTAACAATTTCTCCAGAAAATTCTTCACCACAAGAAAGAGAACAGATGCTTATATGAGCTTCCAGATATCCCTTATTCATATGAGGATCTCGTTTATGCCCCATACTTCTGAAAAAAATGTATTAGAGGCTCAGAGAATGATTCTCTTTGATAATTTCCTCTGAGACTGGCTGAACCTCTTGAGGATAGGAATTACTAAGCCTGTGTTTACATTCTAATCAATAGACCTAACGATCAATCTCTTGAGGAACTTTGAGCTGCAAGTATAGTTTCCAACTAGGAATACGTAGTCCCTTGCAGGGATAAAAGTAGATAGGATACAAGAACCCATCCAGGGTATCTTCTTTCCTACACACCTCTGGGATCACATTCGCAAATATTAGGTCATAGGTTGATACTCTGTAAATAGATAGCTAGTTCAGAGATGGAAAGAATGGGAATAGGCACTCAAGGCAGACTGATTTTTAAATCCAGAATTTTCTAGTTCCTAACTATGAGAATATAGACAAATGATATAACTTCTCTGATGCTGGTTTATGTATATTTATATATTTATTTATTCCTATGTATATTAACACAGTAAGGCTCTTAAAAGGGGTCTGTGTTTATGACTCAGTAGCAGAGATGTTGTCTAAGTACACAAATCCCTGGGTTCAATCCAAGTACCAAATCCAATCCCAAAATAAAAATACAATGGCATGAAGTAGGATGGAAAGTATGAATCATGGAATCAAATATAATAACATAAAAAATAAATCGAAAGATCTATCTCTATCACAATACATCTGCCTGGCCTTCTGTTCGTTCTGGATGGATATCCTGGGTAGGTGAGGAGCAGTTCCCTGCTTTATTCCAGGCATAGGTTTAGGATCTGGATCAGCCACTAGGTGAGGACTTCAGAGAGAATGGCTGTCAGTGCCAGATTCGGGATCAGATCAAGACTAGAATGGCAGATGGTGACTACCTTCGAGTCTGGACTGAGAGAGGCCAGTGACTCAGAGGCCCAGACTCCTGCCATAAATTGTTACAGCCCGCTATGCCTCCTGGTGCCTCAGGGCAGGAAGTTTCTGGTCACTGATGACTTTGATCAGTCCAGGTCAATTTAGCACTCACTTTCTCCAATCTGTCTTCCTCTCCTCTCCTCTCCTCTCCTTTCCTTTCCTCCCATTTCTTTCCTTCCTATCCCTTCCTTCCCATTTCTTTCCTTCCTACCCCTTCCTTCCTCCCTCCCTCCCTCCCTCCCTCCCTCCCTCCCT